ATTGTTCACACCTGCACATATCTGTACACATATATACATGATTTAAAAATAAAGCTAAATAGTAAAGATATTTCCTTTTCTAGTTTCTGAAAGTATGATTTTCCATCTATTCCTTTGTTGGTTTGTTTTGATGAAGTTTGAGCCCCAGGATGGCCTGGAAGTTTGTAGCTAAGGATGGCTTTGAAACCCTGGTCCTGTTTTCTCCACTTCACAGGTGTTGGAATTACAGGTGTGCTAGCGCACACCTGCATTGTCATCTGTTCATTTTTCCTTAGGTGGTTTTGATTTACTTTCATTTAAATGGACTTTTTGGACAGAGTGGAGGTAGATGTGGTCATAATCTTTAACCAGAAGTAGGTTACATGTTTACATCTCTATCATTGTGCTATTGATGGCTGTGATAACAGAGTAAGACTGATGATGATCTGGAGAAGTTGGACTATGATGCAGTTGGTGCCAGGGAAATCTTGCCCAGTTGTCTCTGAACTGTCTTGCCTTGTCTTGGGTTGACACCTGGCTTGAAGTGATCTTCATTTTCAACTAGCACTTTCTGTTTGTCAGTCAGACTCCATCCCTTCACTTGTAGGACACCTTATTTTCTTCATCTCACCAAAATGTGACAGTGTTCTTTGCATGCTTAGAGGTGCATTGTTAGCCTTTAGTTATATGGGCTAATAAGCACTTGGATGTGTCTGGTTTGAATTAAGATGTTCTGCAAATATGAAACAAATCCAAAATTTCAACACTATTTGTGTGTGTATTTGCAGGTGTGGAGGTGGCATGCTTGTTATGTGACTATGTATTCGTATGTGTGTAGGTGTTTGTAGAGGTTAACCTTCTTTGGGCTTCATCAAATGCTGTCCACCTTGTTTTGTTTTCCTTTCAATATTTTTAACATTGATTTATTGTGGGGATGTGTGTGCTACAGCATACAGGTGGAGGGCAGAGGACAATTGTGGGGAATCCGTTCTCTCCTTCTATTGTCCGAGTCCCAGGGATTAAACTCATAACATCAGGCTTGGCAGCAGACACATCCACCCGCCGAGCCGTCTCACCGGTCTCTCTTTTTGTGAGACAGGGTCTCTCACTGGCCTGGAGCTTGCTGATTAGCCTAGGCTGTCTGGCCAGTGACCCACCCCAGAGGTATTCTTTGGTTTCTGTCTCCTCAGCACTGGGACTGCAAATTGAACCCAGTGCTTGGCTGTTGTGTGTGTGTGGGTTCCTGGTTTGAACTCAGGTTCTCATGATGCACAGCAAAGTACGGTACTGTGTTTTATCTCTTCAGTTCCAAAGACAATATTTAAAAAAATCTTAATATTATATATTACACGCTGAAATATTTGGATATAAATTAGATTGAATTAGAGAAAAACTTTACCTGCTTAATGTCCTTAATGATAAGTCAAAAGTTTTCTGAAATCTGAAGGAACTTTTTGAGTATATAATTTTGGATTTTGAATTAAAGGTACATAAATCAGGAATGTAATGGACAGGATTCTCTGATTTCTTAAAAGAAATTATTCTGGGACTGGAGGGGTGATTCAAAGGTTAAGAGCACCCACATTTGGTTCCCATTACTGATATGGTAGTTCACAACCATTCATAACTCAACTTCCAGGGGATCTGATACCTTTGTTTGACTTCCGTGGACATCAGGCACACACACATGGTATATATATATGTGTGTGTGTGTGTGTGTGTGTGTGTGTGTGTGTGTGTATGTATGTATGTGTGTGTGTATATATATATACACACACACATACATACATACATGCGGTGAAAACAGAAAATAACATAATCCGAAAAAGAATTCAAAAGAAGAAAGAAACAAGATTCTGGTTATATGTGGTGGTACCTGCCTGTATTCCCAACACTCAGGAGTTTGAGGCAAAGATCTTGGGAGTTTGTGGCCAACCTGGGCCCAGTAGTGAATCCAGAGAGGTAGGAGGAAATGAAAAGAGAGGAGAGAAAAGAAATTTAAAAAAAGAGAACAGTTAGACTCTAAAATTTCTCCATTAACTGTAATTTTTTGCTGGAATAGCTGTTGGGAGATGGAGGCAGGAGGATCAGGAACTCAAAGTCATTCTTCAGTTACATAGTGAGTTTGAAGCCAACCTGCAACCTGAGACCCTGTATCTCAGAGACAGAGACAGAGACAGAGACAAATGAAAAGAAATGAAAAGAAAGACAGAGAGAAATGGAAAGAAACAAGTTTCCTTAGTACACTGCCAAGAGAACAGTGGGCAGCTTGGCAGTCAGCCAGGTGTGGTGTGGCATTCTGGGAGTTTATCAAATGGAGGAAGGTCCGTTCTTTTTGTTTGTTTGTTTTTGAGACATAGCCTTGACTGGCTGTCCTGGAACTCACTCTTAGACCAGGCTGGCCTCAAACTCAAGAGATCTGCCTGCCTCTGCCTCTCAAATGCTGGCATTAAAAGCATGTACTACTATGCTGGGTCAGGAAGGTCCATTTTAATTCTAGTTTGCTGATAGTTTTTCTTTCTTCTTTCCCTCCCTCCCTCCCTCCCTCCCTCCCTCCCTCCCTCCCT